CTTCAAGGGTCGTGGTGGGCCATTAGTCGCCGGGGCGTCGCCAGAGGGAATAGCGTGCCGGAAATCAGGGTGCTGGGCGAGCGTTCCCTGGTGTGGTGGCTGGCTGGTAATCCCAGGTGGGGTGGTGGGCAGGGGATCCCCGGTGGGATGGTGGCCGTGCTATCCCTGGTGGGGTAGTAGCGATCCCTGGAGGGATAGTGGCTTAGGGTCCCTGGTGGTTTGGGGTTTCAGGTGGATGGTGGGATCCCTGAGTGAGTGAGTCCCTGGAGGCTGGCGGTGTGATGATGGTGGTTGGGCTCCCTGGTGGGTAGTGGGCGCCCCTGGTGAAGTACCTGGTGTCCTGGAGCGTCGGTGGATCCCTCCTGGGTTAGCAGGACCGTTGGTGGTGGTGGTAGCTTCCCGGAGCAGCGGAGGCGTCCCGCCGCGGCCGCAATTCCCCGCCGCGATTCCAGCCACGGCTGGCAGGAAACACCGCGGCTTCGGGTGCCGCGGTAGGCCTCAGGCTGCTGCGAACCGCCGGAGCTCCGCTGGAGGGACGGAGTGACTGTGGGTGTTGGTGGGGACCTCGGCAGCAGACACAGGGGCCCGGATGGGCCCTGATGGCAGCGGTAGGGGCGCAGGGGTGATCCCCTGATCGGCGGGGACCGAGGAGCGGAGTGGCAGTAGTCCGGGCTGATGTCCGGCGATCCTATACTATACAAACTCAAATACTATACTATAAAAAACTATACTATAAAAAAACTCAAAAAAAGAGACAGAGGAAGTCTATTTAGACCCCTGATGTCTCTGCAAAGACCACCCCCCAAACATATTTAAAAAATATTGAAAATAAAATTGTACCTATAATGTATAATTTCGTTACATGGCTCACCACTCTGCTCTCCCAGATAGGCCTAATGAGGAAGCTCTGTATGTTAGAATAATGGATTTGGCCGCATATGAATGGTCTAGGCTACATAGTTACATAGGCTGAAAGAAAAAGCTATTTTTTTTCAAACTGTGCAAATTGTGAAACTTCTTTACAATGAAGTTAGATATGAAAAGCCTTTCATGACATTATCTTTCAAAATATTCATTCATTTCTCTATTTTTAAATTATTTCATTTCTTTTTCGATTATAAATAGTTCAAGCTCCCATCACAATAGTTGAGAAAGGTAACGCTCTGTAGTTACCTGTTCCAAGCGTGAGAGACTGAAAAGAGTAATCTGTAGGAACAAATTATTGTCAACCCTCAAAAAGTTACTGCATGATGCATTTTGCATAACATGTAAACTTTATGCTGTTTTCAAAAAATAGGCACTGGCTTCAATTTGCATCTTCTTTTCTGAAGTGTACGCATTTTTCTGGCATGTATATTATGCCTCACAAACAATAGCATAAGTGTTTGTCAGTTGCAATGTAATACTTTAGCAAAAAAATGACATACAGTATGTTTTACAAACAGCTGAAAGGTTCTTGTTAACTTAATACAAAAGCTGGAAATGCTTTAGAGCCAACTACAAATCTCAGGTAGGCACTCACTGGTCAACTTATATAGAACATCAATTGAAAATGAAGAATAAAAAGTATTGTTCACCTTGAGATATTAAAACATTGAAACCCTGTAAACTGTTTTTTTTTATTGTGTACTTACAACAAAACATGGTCCAGCAGATGTTTTCAAACATTCCTCCAACAATCTCATTCGAGTTCTTTGCAGTTCAGGGCTGTCCCATTCTTCTTCTGGAACTCCCCAGTACAAGTCTATAGCCTGAAAATAAATGGAAATACTATGTGAGTATCACAATCACTGACTTTATCTAGTATTAAAGAAAAAAGATCACAGCAATGTGTTCGTGCCTCACTGCTGAAGTTTGTGAACTTGAGCTATTTCCACAGTGTTTGATGTATTTTTGTCTAAACATGGTTTGATGCTGCTGTGCTATATCCTATAATTTATATATTGTAGCTGAATACATGACTAAGTTGCACCTATGCAAATATTGTGACTAAATGTAAGATTCTTTCTAGCATGTATTTATATTCCAGAGTTTATATACAAACTCATTTGGCATTACATTGAAATTTAAAGGCCAGGCCACAAAGTATGAGGGACCGTTAAATATTTCCATATTAAAGATGATTCCATTTAATCCTGATTTTGTTGATGGAAAATTTCTTTCAATTAGTTTTTATTAAAATTTTTAAGAAATAATAACAATAAAGTGAGCAACCATGACAATAGTGGAAATAAGTACAAACATGTCAAAGTTATCAAAATTGAGCCGATAGGACACGGCAACCAACATGTACAGAAAATCAATCGTGAATGGTAATGACATTTCCAAAATTATTACAAAAATTTAGAAATTAGTATGCTGGTAATATGCCCAGATAAGAAGCATAACAATACACGGTTTGATGCCTAACCAAAAACAAATTAACACAAAACAAGGGATAGAGTTAACACAGTGAGAAAAGATCCAGAAGAACTTGGACCAAAAAAAAAGAAAAGGACGGAGCAGCAAGGAAGCTAGCATTTCATAAAGAAAAAACAAAAAAAAAGGGAAAAGGTCTAACAGAGTACATATATGTGCTATATGCAGTTTATAATATCAATGATTGTCATAGAATATCAAAGGTCAGGGAGTGGGAACTCAATAGTCCAGCGTAACCATCTAGTATTAAAGACCTGTACAGTATGATTTGAAATTGCATAGGGCCGTTCATACAGGTACTGAAAATGTACTCTATGGATAACTTCTGAAACTAGAGTTGATGGAAAATTTCAATCTTGGTCAAATCAACAATAAAAATTGAACTTATAAAACATACCTGTCAATTTGCGGAACCAGTTATGCATATTTTTGACACCCTCAGAAAAGTCGTGATGATGAAATGAGTCAGTACGTGACCAAAGGTGACATTCACCAGATGTGACAATGCCTCTCCGCTGGAAGTGACGCAGCGGGCTGTGAGCGGATGTGTAGTGAGACGCCAGTGGGCTATTCCATGTGGTAAAAGCTGTCATATTGTTATTTTGATGTGCCTTTAAGTTTTTATCATATTGTGAGTGTCATTTTATGGGGGCTGGTAATTTAATAAAGCATCCAGACAGGATTACGCTATGTGGTTCATTTGTGCTTTCTATTTATGAGTTGGAGTGACTGGATTGTATTCACTGTGGAGACTGCGGGATCAAGATGTGGATCAGTGTTTATGCCACATCAACACAGCTTGTTCCAGTGTGTGTGGTGGTGTTGGTGGTGTTTGAAAAGGATTTATGTGGTGGACTTTCCTATATGCAGTCTACTACAACTGGTGGGGATATTATTTTAACTATTGAAGATCACAATTTCAGATGTATTTACAGATATTCTTATTCGTTGTTTGCATATTGTTAGAATTTTAATGGACGAAGTGCTGTTTTTGTGAGGAAATTTAAATTGACTCATATTATGTGATATAAAACATACCTGCCAATTTGGGGAACCAGTTATGCATATTTTTGGGGATGCCACAAGTGCAAAACATCTTCTACTCTGGGCTGAATGAAGACTTAATGACCATTAAGTCTCCTTAATACTGCTAAATGCTATATTTCGGCAATGCGGTAACAAAGCTCCCCCCCCACACACACAATTTCACATTGGCCGGCTAGGATCATGGAAATCCAAAAATTCACTATGGCCTTGAGGGAACAAGATGAAAAATACTGGCAAACATGGAGACCCTGTCTTTTTTTATAGAGACCAGACTCCCCTAGCTTCCTCACTGGCAACCTCACCCTGAGCCTGAGCAATCGTCACTTTTGAAGCTAGTGCTATGGGACAGGAGGAGGTATCTGGACCCCCCCCCCCCCCATTTTCCTTCCTCTACAAGTCCTAGTCTATTCTCTCTCCACTTCTCCCTATCTTTCTCTTTCATTCATTCTTCTATACGATCCACCTACTATTTCCTTGCTTGACCCCTTAATATTCTACTTGATAGGAAAGACGGTTGTAACTGTGTCATATAGACATTGGTATGTAAAGATACTTCTGGAAGTAATGTTCTAAGTGTCTGCACTGTTTTCTTCATGTATACATTCTGAACTGTTTTTTGTTTAGGCTATATGATCTTAGGCTCTGTAGGATGCACAGGGCTGCCATTTGTTCTTAATGGCACCCCCCCGCATCTCAACCCGCAGCATGTTGTGGTTGTGGGAACCACAGTGAACCTAGCCTTAATATTCTTTCTATTTACAAACAAATGCATGGTGGATTATTTAGGTAGGTCCTCACACTACATAGCTATTAGCAGATCAAAAGGGTCGATAGTTTAAAACAGACCATCCCCCTCTGAAAATGCCAATTTGCAAATCTGCATCAGATTCTAACTAAAGCATGATCTTCAACTTAGGTTTTCTAGAGCCTTGGACACTTTTCTATGCCCAGTTCTCCTCTGGCTGGCCATAAGTGCCAGCTACACTGTATAATTAAGATGAACCTTGGACCTGCAAAAAAAAAAGGAATCCTTCAAAATTTGTAGGAGTCATCTCCTTTGCTCATCTAAAATCTTGGGGTACTATATTCATGTGTAAAACCTATTAACCACAATAATAGAAACTATACAGTAGTTCTACCTGTTTTTAAGCAGAAAAAAAGTGTTGCTATTGGCTACTCTCACTTGTAGATTATTAGCATACTCATGTGTTGCAGGTAAATTGGAATGCTTTCTACAAATTTGGATTGCTTCTTCTAATGCCTGCAATAGCCATCTAGGAATATATAGGCCAGGGCTTAAAATTTCAAGTCCTGAGCTACTAGCCAGGTCTTAGAGTTACTCGCCATCAACAAACACACACAAACAGAGACACCTGTATACACACACAGACATGTACATACACACACACGCACACACAGAAACATGTACACACACGCACAGAGACAAATGTACACACACACACACACACATACAGACACATGTATACACACACAGGCACATACAGACAATTAGAAATATAAATACACAGAGATACATGTACATACACAGAAATACACACGCACAGACACATGTACATACACACATGTACATACATACACAGACACATGTACATACATACACAGACATGTTCACACAGACACATGTACATACATACATACATACATACATACAAACACACACACACACACACACACATGTACATGCATACACACATGTACACACACACATACATGTACATACACACAGACACATGTACAGATTCACACATGTACATGTACAATTGTACATGCATACAAACACACACACACAAACACACACACCCCATAAAAAGTTGCAGTACTTCGTTGGTCACTCACAGATATGGGTACTGCACTCTAGGGGGAGGCAGAGAGCACAGCACACATTCCTTGCTTTGCTTTCACTGCACTCAGCTATTGAGCAGTCTGACGGCTCCCAGTGCCAATGACAGATCCGGCCTGAGATCCGAGCCTTCTCAGCAAGACGGCCCTGGGGGACACACTCGCCCCCACCATAATTTCCACTAGCCATTGGCGAGCAGGCGAGTGGAAATTTCAAGCCCTGATATAGGTATAAAGTGATTGATGAACCTAATGCATTTACTTAGGATTTAAGCTGGGTCGTAGCATTTTTACATTTATTAATTATTTGATAATCAGTTATTTTTTCTGCTTCAGCCCCTTTCTCCAGAGATAATAATCAATTAGACCAATGTACTTCATGGGCAATTCAATCTATGTTATATATATATATTTTTCCTATTAGAATAGCTACCACTACAATAACATTTACAGAGTCATATAACACAGTGTTCAATATCACACAGACTTTAAACCACAACATCTGTACAAAGAGATAAGGAGCAATTACAGAAATCTGGATTGTTGCAAAGAAACAAATGGCAAACAGCTGATCAATTTATAGACAGCATAAGGTGCGTGGGAGGCACATTTAACTGTAAGTATGCAAACAATCACATTTCCCAGCACTTGCAGTGAATGGCACTTACTATGTGTCCCTTTAGCTGGTTAAACATTGATTGATCCTTTTAACACCTTCACTTTTAAGCATTTGTGATGCAGTAGTTACAGATGCCCAGAGCTAATTTAGTAAATGAAGTAAAGCTGCATTACTTTTCTGGAGAATATAACATGACAAAAGCACATTGATGGAACTGCATGGCTTCTGTTTATATTTCCAATTGTCTGTGAATGTGACCTTTGCCTTTATTAGGTTTTTTTTCAAGCAGATTTTAAAGAACAATCTCTCATTCAAGGCTCTTTTTCTTTAGGTGGAATTCCTATGATGGAAAGGACGTGATCATTGATGGATGTTCTTAGGACCACATTGTAGTAATCAAAATGAATTTACTATCCACAAAAAAACAAGTTACATGAACACATGTTGCTCTTGGGAGCAGCTTCCTGAATTAATGCCCTCTCTCTGTCTATTCTAATGAATGGGCCATGTCTCTGCTGCTGCCCCATTCTCACTGTCAGTGTAATTGGTTGTATCTGCTTTCAGACTGGAAATGACATAATTGATTTCAAAGTCAATACCTAAAGATCCCAGTTAAATAAACGGGTACAAATCAAACAATATATTTTCATCTGTACAGTTTGAAAATATTTTTCAGAAATTACCAGACTTTTATCTTAAAGCATTTTAAAACAATGCAAACCCTATATGGATAAAAATGTTTTTTTAAAAAAACTTTTATTGCTTTTCCAAAAAGAGAGAGAAAATTACAATTACAAATTCATATTGCTCAACAATAATATGAAAAGCATGGCCCTGCGATGTAGGGTGAAGGTACATAGGCCAAAGGCCATATCCAGATTGTTCTAAAAAACAAACCATATGAGTAAAACAGTACACCATCAGGAAAACTAGAAGGAAAACTTGAGACCAAAAGATACATGCTCCCTTCTCCCAGAGTTAAAGCAATTAGGAATTAGTGAATCTGCCTGGGTTACACTTGTGTGTGTAGGGAGGGGGGGGGGAATGTTGAAGATTCCAAACCTTCTATCATTGGTGTCCTGGATGGACGAGTCTCAGTCAATCACTTCCCACGGCCTGAGCTTTTTATCTACCAGACTCCTATGACTAGGCACCCCTTAGCTGGAGGGATTCATGTAGGGTCAAACCTCTTATCCTGGAACAGCCTTTCATGCTATATTGCACATTAGACTGAAACTTTCCCGCCACACCTGTGTTGGGATTCCTGCAATTTAATACCTACTTGGGTTCCACACCCATGAATAATAATATTTACATATGTTTATATTGCTTTAATAGGCTCACATGTGAGTACCCTTTCCCCTCCTGCCCTCTCACCATTCTCCCCCCCCCCCCCCCCCTATTTCTCTCTTCCCTCATTCTCTCCTTTCTTTTCTCTCCCCACCTTTCCAATCTCCCCCCTTTCCCCTCACTTGTGGGCCCTAACCTCTAATGCGTACCACATGATGTTTTCCAATATCCTGGGCTCCCACCCCCCCCACCCTGTCTCTGCTGGTGGAGTCAGTTCCTGGGGTTTTTTTAAGCCTACCACCAGGTTGCCAACACCCTACTATGGTGCTGCAATTGCTCACCTAGTGTTGTTATTCAAGTTAGAATTTTACTTGACATTTCTACTTTTATGTTTACCTGCAAATTACTAACTAGAGACCTGGGGACATCCCAACTCCTCTACTCTTATAGTCATTTTTGCTCTCCATCACCTGGGTCTACCTATTTTGGGTGGAGGAGATGGGATACCGCCCTCCCCACCCCCTGACACCCCTCCACTCCCCTCACCTCAGAAAACTTCCAGCCCCAATTTTTTTATAAACCACGCATGTGTCCAGTGGTAGAGTTCCCCAGCAATAGACATCCTATACTTGTTTTTATTTTTAATATTTGGTATTCTCTTGCTTCCCCCCTTCTTCCTCCTTCACTTACTTACACCCTTGCGTTCTGCAGGCATAGATTCCCCCTACCACAGCAATACCCCCACACTTGGGTTGCTCTGACCCCAGGCTGGGCTCACTCTTATAGTTCTTCCAATCCCCACCACCATGGCTAACACAACTCTGAAGATCTATTCACATAACATACAGGGATTCAACTCACCCGCGGCAAAAGTGTTCCACCACCTCAAGACTAACCATATCAATAGAGTAAGCTTACAGGAGACCAGGTTTTCCTCTTCTTCCTCTCCTAAATTTCTCTCTCCGCATTATCCTACTTTTTTCTAGCCTCAGTTCCTGAGAAGCACCAGGGAATGCTGACATCATTCAGTTGCAATCTTCTATCTTCTTGTACTAAGGAACTTGCTGGCCCCACTGATAGTTACTTATTGCTTCAAGACACTCTCAATAGCCAAGAGGTCACCTTGGTGTCCTACTACGCTCCCAACCAATATAAAAATACATTTTTCTCCCACGTTCTTCAAGTGGTAGTGAAACATGCTAAATGGGATTTACTTCTCATGGGGGGACTCCAATGTGGCCCTTGGCTCTTCTTTAGACAATATGCCTCTGGTGTTACTCCATCACATGATCCTAGCCTGGAAGCTCAAATGCGCTCTATCAGTTTAAATGGCTTGCTTGATGCCTGGAGGGAGCTCCATCCATGGGTTGAGTATTTGATTTTTATTCTCACCCTCATAACAGCCACTGTAGGCTCGATCATGTTTTTGTTCCCCTGCAGCATATTTCCCAGGTGAGCAAATTCACTATTCCAGCTTCTTTGTGGTCCAACCACGATCCTTTGATCTTTTTGTTTCTTCCTTTCTGGACTGTCTTGCCCTTATTTCCAATGGAGACTCAGCGACTCCCTTTTAACATACCAGAATTTGTGCGCCAAGATTCAATCCCACACTCAAACTTTTTCTGATAATGTTGGCTCTGCCACGTTAGCAATCTTTCTCTATTTAGCTCATAAAGCTACCCTTCAAGGCCACCTGATTCAAATTGCCTCTGCAAAGAAGCGAGTGAGGGAACAGACTTAAGGAGCTGACCATACCATGCCTCTGCGGATGACCTGTGGAAGTACCACCCCTTGTTGGCCATCTGTCAGAAGTGAGACTCCCTGGCATACATAACTGGACCTTTTGCCCACAGATCATGCAGAGAAAACCCTTAGATGGGCCAAACACAATTTCTACACCTGCACGAAAAAGCAGGAATCATGCTGGCTAAGAAATTAAATACAGTAGGATGATCCCATAAGCCAATCTGCTTGAGTACCCCAAATGGGGATCGCACGTCTGACCCTGCCAAGATCACTGCTTCTTTTGGCAATTTTCTGTCTTCAATATATGATAAACCAGTTCCTTTCTCTGTTGATCTTGCGGACCAATTCTTCTAAGATCTTCATCTCCCTTCTCTTAATGAGGCTGCTAGAGAGGTGCTCAACGTGGATGTCTCAGAACTGGAGGTGGCTTGGCCCAGCAATTCCTTACTCATCTAATAGGCCCCTATTTTAGTGCTCCACCTTGCGGCCTACTTTTTTAAAATTTTTTCTGACATCTTGGTGTTCTATCTTTCACTTGGAAGTTATAAGTAAATACAGCTGGATAAAACAAAAACTGTGTCTGTCTTCATTTCAGGCTACAAAGCAACAAAATGTGAATATTTTAAAGGAGGTGATTCTTTTCTATACCCACTGTATCCGGCCTTCGGGTTCATCTCCACAAAACAATGGCACTCAATATTTCCCTACGTCCCTCATCTGTGTCATATCTTCAGATGTATTTTCCCTATCCCAAACTACTATCCACTCGTTCGGACTATCGCCTCCCTTATGCAATCATCGCAGTTCCCTTCCTTAAAGTGGATAGGCCACATCCACGCATTAAAATGACCATTCTCCCCCAAAAATGTTATATTATTTCAGAACTCTTTAACCTATGCTTACTATAAAGCAGAATCCTTTCCTTCCCCTGGGCCTATAAGCGCCCCAGAGTTTCTCACTTTACCTTATACACCCATAGACTAAGAGGAGGTTTGGGGGCTCCTAATGTGGCAAAGAACTACATGGCGGCACAAATCTCTCAACTTGCTCTGCTTCATGCCACTACAGATGTCCTCCTTTGGGTTCTTTTGGAACCTCTCATCCCCCTTGGCAGCCCTGCTGTTGCTCCCCCACAGGCTATGCCCCCCTTCTTTATCCCCTTAATGTTTCATAGCTTGAGAGTTTGGGACTTGGTCCACTACTTGGGCAACCTCATGTCCCCTTTCTTGCCCCCTTCCACTGTTTAACAACTGTTTTTCCTCCAGGCCAGGAACAGATGGGAGCGTTTGCGGACTCATGGGTTCCCTTTCCTTCCTGGTCCTCCACGCATGAGACCCATGGAGCACAGCCAGCTGAATTTTTCCGGTATGCTCAACTCCTCCCTTGGGTGACTTCCCTGAGTCGCAATTCACCTTTCCCTTCCATTCTATGGTCTTTGAACATATCTGTCGGCACCCCCATGGGAGCTCCAGGCACTATTTCCCCGATCTATTTCTATTGAATGCTATTGAATTTCATTTTCTACCTCATATAAGACTGGCTGGGAGAGGGACCTAGGAACCACCATTGATCC